TGTTTGATCAATGACATATAAGCATAGGTGACAACTGTCATTTCCTGATAGAAGTTGTAAGAAGACACATTGGAGGATAAACCAAAGTAATAAAATAGCTGAGTAAAAGAAGTTCCAGAAAATGAAAGGGGGAAACTGGTTTAGAGGAAATAGTCAAAGAACAAAAAAATGCCCTCTCCTCTAATTCATGACTCCAGATGTCTTAAAAGGTGCACTTGGTACCCTGCAAATGAATAATGAAAGATGAATACCTAGACACATTATTGGGACATTTCAAAACAGCAAAGAGGCGAAAAATGCTTTCAAAAGAAAGAATATGCATCATTCAAAGAAAAGAGAATAAAATTTTCCAATAGAAAGACAGGAAGCTAGAAGACAGAATTCTTACTGAAAAGTTTAAGCTTAAAAAAAAAAAATTTAAGCTTAAGACTATCAATCTAATGAGACAGTCAAGTACAGGCATTTTTCAGATATGCAAATGCCCAAAAGACACCTTTTCTCCCAGGAGGCTATTAGAAGATGTGTTCCACCAAAATTAGTAGACAGAGATGGTAACAGATATAGAATCCAAAAATGAGGGGATGTACAGAGGGGGAAAAATGAAATAATTTCTATGTTAATGGTGATGAAAAGCTACAAGGGAAGCGATGACTATCAGGTCAGAGTACAGCCTGGTCTACACTGAAGTAAGAGGACAAGAATTCTAGACTTATCGTCTCCAAAGGGAAAAATGGAGATTTCACAATGCATGTGACAATGTGGAAACTAGTACTGAGAGGGCTTTGAACTATTCTGGAGAAAGTCCAAGGAAATCTGTGCTTAAGTATAGGAAAATCAAGCAAACAAAAAGTATAGTGAGTATCAAATCCATGAAAAGCAAAAACTATACATTTAAAGAAATATTAATTTTATACATATACATGTATAGTTCTGTTGTACACAAGAGGATGACAGTTGTCTCAAGGGAAAGCACTTGGGCAAACAAATTAAGTTGTGAGCTAAACTTGGCCACTTTACTCATGAAGCACCATTTTTTACTTTACTTCATGCTGCACCATTAATTTGCTTTAAACTAATAAATGCCTTACCAACTATGGTTATTAAGACTTGGGCATTGTTTGGCAGGAACTTTGTTCAGACAAAAAAGTAAGAGAATCACCTCAAGGAAAACAACTGATTGTATATGCTGCCAATGACAGAATTCAAGTTTTCGAACAAAAGTACAAATTAGGATTTTGGAAAACCTGTTTCCCCCACCATGTGACTGAATCTTCCAAAGACTTTTCTAATGAGACTGGTAATGTTAACAAAATATGACATTTTGATATTGTATGAGTTATGTCAACATTTGTGTGTTCACTCGTGTCTGACTCTTTGCAACCCCATGGACTGTAGCCCACCAGACTCCTCTGTCCATGGAATTTTCCAGGCGAGCATATGGGAGCAAGTTGCCATTTCCTTCTCCAGGGGATCTTCCCAAACCAGGGATTGAACTGGTGTTCTCCTGTGTCTCCTGCATTGGCAAACAGGTTCTTTACCAACTGAGCCACTCAGGAAGGCCCCCATGTCAACACCTGAAAGAGCTACAGTTCAACTGGCCAGTGCATGATGGATTTCCCTGGTAGCTCAGAGGGTAAAGAATCTTCCTGCAATGTGGGAGACCTGAGTTCAATCCCCAGGTTGGGATGATCCCCTGGAGGAAGGCATGGCAGCCCATCCCAGTATTCTTGCCTGGAGAATCCCCATGGACAGAGAGCCAGGTGGGCTACAGTCCTTGGGATCACAGAGAGTCAGACACAACTGAGCAACTAAGCACACAATGCATGATGTTACAAAATCATGCATGGGTCAGAAATCCATTCCAAGTTTAAGATAAATGGATACTGTGTAACAGAACAGAAAAATCTGATATAATTTCAAATTGCACATTGTGGCTAATCTTGAAAAATTACCACTTATAAAGTGTTAGTATAGTACCAAAGAATATTTACAATTATCTGAAAAGGCTATTAAAACACTGCTCCACAAACATGCAAAACAATGCCATTCTTCTCACTAAACTTTTTTATTTTGGAAAACAGTTACTTAAGAATTGTAATTTAAGTTTATATGTAATGAGATTATTATTTGAGTTTTTTAAAAAATTAATAAATGTTTTCAAAAGTTTCCCAATTTTACATTAAATAAACATCATAAAAGTCCACATAATAAACCTCCTTTGGAGGCCCTCAAGTTTTAGGACTGAGTATAAATGTTACTGCTCATGGGTAATGGGTTACATTCTGTGATGAAGATAATGTGGTAATGGTGATGATTACACAACTTTGTGAATATACTACAAAACACTGAATTGTATATCCCCAAAAGGGTAGATTTTATGTTATCTGAATTATGTCTCAATAAAGCTGTCTTTTTAATTACAAAAAAAGAAAAAAAAAAAAAAGAATGTGAAGAGTTCCTAAGACCAAAAAGTTTGAGAATTGATGCTCAAAACACATCTCATTATTCATTCAACAAATACCTTCTTCTACCTTCTTACTGTGAGTCTGGCACAGTTCTAAGCTCCAAGGATAAAAAGCATTGAACAAAACTGACAAAACTTTCTGCACCCATCAAGTTTACATTCTAGCAGACAGAAAAAAAAATAAAAGAGGTTTGTTAACAAGTTTTAACTGCTATGTGAAAAAACTAGGGAATGGATAAAGAGTTTCAGTTTCAGATAGAACAGCTTCTGAGAAGGTTAAGATTCAAGACATGAAGGAAGAAAGAGAGTGATCCACCAGCCCAGGTTGGGTGCATGAGACAAGTGCTCGGGCCTGGCGCACTGGGAAGACCCAGAGGGATCGGGTGGAGAGGGAGGTGGGAGGGGGCACCGGGATGGGGAACACATGTAAATCCATGGCTAAATCATTTCAATGTATGACAAAAAGCACTGCAATGATGTAAAGTAATTAGCCTCCAACTAATAAAAATAAATGGNGGAGGCCTGGCATGCTGCAGTCCATGGTGTCGCAAAGAGTTTGACCTGACTGAGTGACTGAACTGAACTGAACTAGTGAAATAAAATTTCAATGATAAATATTATAAATTTAATAATTTAAAAATAAAGTGCTTTTAAAATAAAAAAAAAAAGAAAGAGAGTGATCCTTATAGATACGTGGAGGAAGAGCACTGTAAGTAATAGTTAAGTTCAGAGGCCTGAGAAAAAAACCTACCAAGCATGTTAGGTATGCAATCAATGAGTCACAATTAGGCATATTATGTTCCTTATGTCCCTTGGTTTAACCCAACCCCATCCTGTATCTTAGGCTTTTTATAATCTATGGAACCTCCTAGAAGCAGCTCCAGTAACAGGCTCCTAGACTTCTCCAATCTTGTCTTCTACTTCTAAACATCTTTCCCTTAACTTCCATCACAATCACGCTTCACTTAAAATAAGTGTTTCATATGAAGTATTTTTTTTTTTTCATATGAAGTATTTTTAAACCCAAATTTCTACATAGCTAAGTCAATATACTAACTATAATCTGAGATGCTAGATTGCAGTAATGGCTGTACTCTTTTTTTCTTTGGATGGCTGACAGTTAAGTATTTTTTTAAATACGGGGGGCAAAATAAAGGGGGAAATAAAGGAGAGGACAGCTTACCATTTAAAGATTAAAAAGACAATAACCAGATCCAATGTTTAAACCTTGACTGGATTCTGGCATTAAAGACAAAAAATGCTATACAAGGTATTTTGGAGGCAACTGGGGAAATCTAAATATTACATAAAATTAATCATCTAAGATATGTGGGAACAGTGGAAGACTTTATTTTTGGGGGCTCCAAAATCACTGCAGATGGTGACTGCAGCCATGAAACTAAAAGACGCTTACTCCTTGGAAGGAAAGTTATGATCAACCTAGACAGCATATTAAAAAGCAGAGACATTACTTTGTCAACAAAGGTCCATCTAGTCAAGGGTACAGTTTTTCCAGTGGTCATGTAGATGTGAGAGTTGGACTATAAAGAAGACTGAGCACTGAAGAACTGATACTTTTGAACTGTGGTGTTAGAGAAGACTCTTGAGAGTCCCTTGGACTGCAAGGAGATCCAACCAGTCCATCCTAAAGGAGATCAGCCATGGGTGTTCATTGGTAGGACTGATGTTGAAGCTGAAACTCCAATACTTTGGCCACCTGATGCAAAGAACTGACTCATTTGAAAAGACCCTGATGCTGGGAAAGATTGAAGGTGGGAGAAGGGGATGACTGAGGATGAGATGGTTGGATGGCATCACAATGGACATGGGTTTGGGTAAACTCCGGGAGTCGGTGATGGACAGGGAGGCCTGGTGTGCTGCAGTTCATAGGGTCGTAAAGAGTCGGACACGACTGGACGACTGAGCTGAACTGATGAAGGTATGATAATAGTGTTTTTGTTATGTGGGCCCCCCCACATAACATTATTTTTAGAAAATGTATACTTCATTATTTAGTAGTTAAATGTCATGCTGTTTCAATGCACACAATATTCATGCACTAGGAAATAGATGCATCAAACATGGCAAAATACGTATTACTGAGTCTATGTGGTGGGTATACAGTAGATCAATGTACTATTCTTTCAATGTTTTTACTGTTTGAAGATGTTAAGAACAGGTCTAAAAAAATCCTTCTACAATAATTCAGATTATTTAACAAGTTACTGCATGTGTAATCAAAATTTCAGACAGAAAAAATAAAATATTGGCCTTCCTTTCAACAGGTAGATTCCACATGATAGATTCCACACATAAAAGTAAAAAACATGTAAGATGTTTACTGAGGACTTTTGAATTGCTGTGCAAAATGTGAAGTAGGATGGACAATAAGATGGGAGATCAATAAAAGAGGAATTAAGTAACGAGTTTAAATAAGCTCAAAGGCCAAGATTCAAATAATTTTATAGAAAGAAGAAAATATGTTCACATTATACTCACAGGGTTAATATGTCCTCTCCTAATTATCTTTTAAAAGGTTTGACTATGTCACAAGGACCATGAGAAAGGAAGTAATCCAGACCTAATCTGATGTGACATCTGGACCTGAAATAATGAGCTGAAATCTCTGTCTAACACAATGAAAATGAAGTCAATTGGAAAGTTGTTTACCCTGTAAATAGGTAAAATTATGGTGGGCAATACAGAAAGGCTAGAGGTGCAAAAATAAAGATTGATATTTATAGAAAGCTTGGGACTTCCCTGGTGACTCAGATGTTAAAGTGTCTGCCCTACAACGTGGGAGAAAGGGTTCAATCCCTGGGTTGGGAAGATCCCCTGGAGAAGGAAATGGCAACCCACTCCAGTACTCTTGAGTGGAAAATCCCATGGATGGAGAAGCCTGGTAGGCTACAGTCCATGGGGTCGCAAAGAGTTGACACGACTGAGCGACTTCAGTTTACTTTTACTTCTAACTTCAGAATGAACGAGTCATTTCTGAGAATTAATTTATAAACAGAAAGAGGAAAGGCAGAATGCAGAGTTCAGAAGACATGTCCAATAAGAAGGTAGAAGGCGGAGAAAAAAGCAAAAGATGGGGAAATACTTTGACAGATAAAGCAACAAAAGCACCAATAAAGCTGAAACTGGAAAGTACTCCTAGAAGGATGACTCAAACATAACATAAGTAGATCCTTTCCTCTAAAATGGTAAAATAAAGACATGTTGGGATTTCCCTGATGATCCAGTGGTTAGGACTCCTCCCTGTCGCTGCCAAGGGCCCAGGTTCAATACCTGGCTGGGGAATTAAGGTCCCAGAAGCCTCACAGTACAGCCAATAAAACCAAAAAGACATCTCTGCTCACTTTCGTCTGAGAAGAAGAAAAAGGGAAAACTGCATTGTTGGTAAAAGTAGGAAACAGCTATAATTCTAATGTCCTACTAGGAAGAATATGTGTAGGCAGCTGTCACTGTTGTTTTTAGGAAGAGCTCTTATGCACAACACTCTCCAAAAACAAAAGGCACAGTCTCAGGGGGGTCACATCGCCACCTCCTAGTTTCTAACAACAGAATCTAGGAATGCAGGCTGGATGCAGGAGACTTGGACACAATGGCATCTCTGAGTGGTAAGAGAAGTAGAACTGAGCAAGGAAATGCAGGCAGCACCACTGATTAAAGCAGCTTGTTAGTATAGCAGAACATAAGTCTTCTCAACTTTCTAGGTTCCCTAAATTCCTGACTCTCCAGCTCCCTAGATTCCTGACTACCTACCTGAATATGCACTTAGATGATGGATCAGTAGACAGGACACAATTAACAAGTCCATAAGAAAATCCTTGATCGGTCTCTCAAAATTCCTGAAGTCTTCTTGTCTCATCCTTATCTAGTTAAGTCATCAGTGACTTCTTTCTCTCATATCCAACATAAAATCAGTCAATCCTTCAACTATTCCTTTAAAGCATCTTAAAAATCTGACCACTTGTCACTAAGTACAACTATTACCTAGATCACTTCAGTAGTTATCACTCCCATTAATCTCCTAGCCTTGGCCCCCTATACCATACTTTCTTTATAGCAGCTCAAATTTAATTCTGATCTTTTCACTCCTCACCTCAAAAACCTTTGATGGCCTTTCAAATCACTCAGAATAAAGGCCAAAGTCTATGATTTGGCCTGTTACCTAACCAAACCCTTTGTCACTCTGCTCAAGTCCACTGCCCTCATCACTATTTCTTTAAGAGGAAGCACAAGCCTCAGGGTTTTTAAGACTTTTCGTTCCTTTTGGCTGAATGCTCTTCCACCAAATACTGCATACTGCACTCTCACACTCTTAAATGTTACTCTCTTAATGAGACCTTTCCCTGACCAATTTATTTAAAATTATAACTACCCAAAAAATAAAAAATAAATAAAAAAAAATTATAACCCCCAACTGGCCCTCACTATGCCAGTTTTCCTTGCTTTATTCTTCTTCATAGGACTCACCACCATCTGATAGAATACACTGTTTACCTATTTACATAGTCTGTCTTCCCCAATTAGAATGTAGGCCTCAAGAAGGAGGAATTTTTGACTGCTTGGATCATAACATTTCCCTAGTACCTGAAATGGTGCTAAATACAAACCATGCAGGAAATACTTATTGAATATATCAATATACCATGTTGGTAGACATGTAAATTGGTTTACTTCTTTTGAGAACAGTGTGCCTATTTCTATCAAATCTATAAATAAACTTAACTTTGACCCAGCATTTCTACTTAAGAGTAAATTAGGATGTAACTGTATCTGCACATCTCTGCAAAGCAATATAAACAAGTATATTCACTTGCATCTTCACTCACACAAGTCTGGAAACAACCTAAATGTCCGTTAGAGACAGGTTAAATGAATTAAGTGTTGATGGAGAAAAGAAGAAAACTATGTACACGATAGAATACATACCACCATTTAAATGAAAAGACTGAGTGCTTATATATATTTGTATTTGCACCACAGATACATTAATATATGCTTGTTTATTCACAGACTGCCTCAAGAAGAATCCATGTGAAACTCTTAAGTGACTGCAGCTTTGAAAAAGAACTACAGGACCAAGGGTCAGATGTTTTTACTGATATTCAAAATTTTTTTACAAATTCATGTATTATATAAAAAAATAAATACAGACTCATCCATCCATTCATCTATACACACACACATAGCAAAAAAGCAGAACTGATTGCTACAGCAAAAACTTCTGAAAAGAGAAACATGGGGGCAGAAGGGAAGGAGGCAGGAGTTTATTGATGCATAATGGGGGAACTGGATAAGGCAACAGGAAGTGTGATTACAGATGTAAAATATGATGCTGAAGCATTTAACCACTGAAAGAATGAGAGAAATTGGTAAGTAATAAAAAGGAACCTAAATATCATACAATATGTAAACCTAAGATAGTAAAAGACAACACACAAGGAAAGGAGCCTACACACACCAGGAGATATGAGACTGAGGGTATCATGGAAGACAGAACAATCACAGAGAGGCAGAGGGAATGAAGTGTGAAGTGCTGACATGCAGAATAAAAATAAGGGCACCTGCCCTTCTAGAATCTGATTAAAGGCACAGAATACTGAAAGAAAAAATGATGACTGGTAATGTCCTTTAGGTTTCTAAAGACTTACTCTAAGATTAGGGCTGGTAAGAAAGCTTTTCAGAGGTGGCAGTGCTGACTGAACAACTGTGATGTGCCCAGTTGTGATGCACTCACCTGAACAAACTTCCTTTCCACTTCTTTCTCCACCATCCAGAGTTTGTCTTCGTGCTTCAACAGAGGATCACATCCAGCCTGATCAGTCCACAACCTGCTACTGGGGAAATGACACAGCACTAGAATGTTAATGCTGGAGCCAAAGTTCTCTCCTAGAACTCGGCTGAGCCCTGGGGCCTCCCGAACCTTCTGAAGGATGAGGATGGTGCAATCTCCAGGAATGCACAAGGAAGTGACCCTGTGAAAAAGAATAAAGTAATAACTTTTTGCCTTAAGAGATTAAAGCACATACAACTATATGAGCACAGGTACTATCTGGATCCAGAATTTCAAAGCCATATAGTCATTAAACCATTTAAAGCTCCACACACCCAAAAATGGAGGAAGAGAGGGGGAATTTATTTTGAGAATTTGACTTACATAGGAAAAGTTGTTCACATCTTACATGACTGGCTGCTACTGTTCTCTAGCACCACACTCCTATGTAGGTTCCTAATATGATTTTAACTCCCAAAAAATAAAAAATAAATAAAAAAAAATTATAACCCCCAACTGGCCCTCACTATGCCAGTTTTCCTTGCTTTATTCTTCTTCATAGGACTCACCACCATCTGATAGAATACACTGTTTACCTATTTACATAGTCTGTCTTCCCCAATTAGAATGTAGGCCTCAAGAAGGAGGAATTTTTGACTGCTTGGATCATAACATTTCCCTAGTACCTGAAATGGTGCTAAATACAAACCATACAGGAAATACTTATTGAATATATCAATATACCATGTTGGTAGACATGTAAATTGGTTTACTTCTTTTGAGAACAGTGTGCCTATTTCTATCAAATCTATAAATAAACTTAACTTTGACCCAGCATTTCTACTTAAGAGTAAATTAGGATGTAACTGTATCTGCACATCTCTGCAAAGCAATATAAACAAGTATATTCACTTGCATCTTCACTCACACAAGTCTGGAAACAACCTAAATGTCCGTTAGAGACAGGTTAAATGAATTAAGTGTTGATGGAGAAAAGAAGAAAACTATGTACACGATAGAATACATACCACCATTTAAATGAAAAGACTGAGTGCTTATATATACTTGTATTTGCACCACAGATACATTAATATATGCTTGTTTATTCACAGACTGCCTCAAGAAGAATCCATGTGAAACTCTTAAGTGACTGCAGCTTTGAAAAAGAACTACAGGACCAAGGGTCAGATGTTTTTACTGATATTCAAAATTTTTTTACAAATTCATGTATTATATAAAAAAATAAATACAGACTCATCCATCCATTCATCTATACACACACACATAGCAAAAAAGCAGAACTGATTGCTACAGCAAAAACTTCTGAAAAGAGAAACATGGGGGCAGAAGGGAAGGAGGCAGGAGTTTATTGATGCATAATGGGGGAACTGGATAAGGCAACAGGAAGTGTGATTACAGATGTAAAATATGATGCTGAAGCATTTAACCACTGAAAGAATGAGAGAAATTGGTAAGTAATAAAAAGGAACCTAAATATCATACAATATGTAAACCTAAGATAGTAAAAGACAACACACAAGGAAAGGAGCCTACACACACCAGGAGATATGAGACTGAGGGTATCATGGAAGACAGAACAATCACAGAGAGGCAGAGGGAATGAAGTGTGAAGTGCTGACATGCAGAATAAAAATAAGGGCACCTGCCCTTCTAGAATCTGATTAAAGGCACAGAATACTGAAAGAAAAAATGATGACTGGTAATGTCCTTTAGGTTTCTAAAGACTTACTCTAAGATTAGGGCTGGTAAGAAAGCTTTTCAGAGGTGGCAGTGCTGACTGAACAACTGTGATGTGCCCAGTTGTGATGCACTCACCTGAACAAACTTCCTTTCCACTTCTTTCTCCACCATCCAGAGTTTGTCTTCGTGCTTCAACAGAGGATCACATCCAGCCTGATCAGTCCACAACCTGCTACTGGGGAAATGACACAGCACTAGAATGTTAATGCTGGAGCCAAAGTTCTCTCCTAGAACTCGGCTGAGCCCTGGGGCCTCCCGAACCTTCTGAAGGATGAGGACGGTGCAATCTCCAGGAATGCACAAGGAAGTGACCCTGTGAAAAAGAATAAAGTAATAACTTTTTGCCTTAAGAGATTAAAGCACATACAACTATATGAGCACAGGCACTATCTGGATCCAGAATTTCAAAGCCATATAGTCATTAAACCATTTAAAGCTCCACACACCCAAAAATGGAGGAAGAGAGGGGAAATTTATTTTGAGAATTTGACTTACATAGGAAAAGTTGTTCACATCTTACATGACTGGCTGCTACTGTTCTCTAGCACCACACTCCTATGTAGGTTCCTAATATGATTTTAACGGTGACCCTTACTCTTGGATGAAATTTAATATTCATTATCTAGAACAACATATGCCTATCACACTAAGTCACATGGATAAAGTTGTTCTTGACAGTATTTAGGAACAAAAACTGAAAAAGTGTTCCTGGATTCCTAATATTTGATTGCAATATACTCTAAATGAAACTATATATAAAGAATGTCCTGTAAATATGTTCACCCACACATTCAAAACAAAAGAAGTTATGAACATTATTGGGACAATAGACAAAATTTGAATATAGACTTTGAATTAATAGTACTGATATTATATTTTCTGATTTTGATTACTGTACCATGATAATGTATAAGAATATCCTTGTTCTTAGAAAATTTATGCTGAAGTATTTACAGATAAAGGGAGCAGTATACAACTTAGTCTCAAATAGTGCAAAAAAACCTACACATTTCTGGAGAATTAGAGAAGGAAAAATAAGGCAATTTAAAAAGTAAACGGTGAATTTGGGTAAAGTGTATATGGGACTTCTTTGTACATTGCACTCTTCTCTAGAAAGGGTACATGCAACTTTTCTATAAAGTTGAAATTATTAAAAAAAAAAAGCAAAACCCTAAAAAATACAAATTACTACTTATACACTCTATCTACTATGCATGGTGAAAAAGCACAGTCACCAACCTGTACTGGGGTATGGCAGATGGAAGGCTCAGAGACTGACTTAAATAGTAATGTACACAGAGATAAACATGAGAGTGTGGGTTGCCTAGGAACAACCTGCAGGAAGAAGATCAAGTTTGATCTCCTGGACATTCAGAGTGTCAGGTTTCTAAGGACATGCAGGCAAATACATCCATTAGGCAACTGCATACATAAAGGAGGAACTCAGAACAACCTAGAATGGAAATGGGAATCTGTCAGCTGTCAGACTGTAATTGCTGCTGAAGACAGGTGGAATGTTATGTGATTGCTTATAGAGAACATACACAGTATGTGAATGGTCAAGGAGCATTGAATCCTAGAACACCAATAGTCAGGAAGACAAGGAAACATTTCACAGGAGTCAGGTGACTGCTTAGTTTCAATCTTTTAAGTACTTTTCCTTAAAACCATACAAAATACCAAGAAAAATGGGTTAATGGTTAGAGGGGAGTAAGGGGCAAGCAGTTATCCATACATTACATCTGTAGTGAAAGTGGTAGTGAGAATTTAACTCTAAATTATATCTAAGTGTGGTCCCAAAACCTACAATAGGAGATGTGGTACAGGAAGCACAATAGTGTGCGACAGTGTAGCAAGAAAGACTAAGATAATGGTGAGAGTTCCTTAAGGTAGCAGACCTCAGAAATAACTAGGAAAGATTCATTCTCAGAAAGAGGAATTCACCCTGAGTGAGAACTGTGGTAATCAACAAGACTCATGACAAAAAACAAACAAACAAACAAAAAAAAACCAGCCCAAACTCCATGTTATCTCTACCAAAGGAAAACCCACACAGGGGGCCTAAAGAGGAAGTTGCAAAAAAGCCTAGGAAACACTGGGAATGCTAAGGGAGATTCTAAGGACTTAGGGAGTTCAGAAATCCACAGCTAATATTTCCTTACAGAATAAGTCTTACTCTAAGAATCAATGAGAGTAAAACCTATATTAAACCAAAAGAGACTGCAGGGCTAGCAGAGCAGACTTAAAAAGCATTTGGGAGTGGGGTGACCCCAGATTCAGAAACCTCTGAAAGTAAACACATCGTCCTGGAAGGAAACTACTATGAAGATTTATAGGAAATAGAAAGAGAAAGATAGAGGTCGGCCTCAACCAAGTTAGGGTCAACTAGCCAAAGAAGGTACAGAAGCCTTCTGCTTTTAAACACTAAAAGAGGCAGGAGAGCTTTGAAGCACAGAATGCTACTATGTTTCCCTTTTCCTGGTACTTGTCTAGGAAAATCTACCTCCTACAAACATGGCAAATACTTTGTGGTCTATACAAGGATGCTTTAAGAAAAACAGTGGCAATGAACAGCAAAATTTTCCAACAATTAAACTCACCTGAAAATTACAAAAATTTAACAGAATTATTTTTTGAAAAAGACAAAAACTTTAAGCAAACAAAAGCTATGAAAAGAACGCAAAAGATAAAGTGAGTTAAAACATGGTCACCCAAAAGGAGGAAATGGAAAAACAGAATATGAATGAGTATCTTATTTTTTGTTCCGTTTGATGTTTTAAAGACTGCAGTTATCAGAGTTTAGAGAGATTTTTATTTCCTTGATTAATGTGATCTTTCCTGGTTGTTGTATATGAGGCATGGCAGTGGTCTCAGTTTTAAACTTTTTATTTCTACTCACACCCCCAGAGACCCAGGCAGGAAGGGTAATATTTACACATATAGGTCATCATAATCTACATCTGACCACAAAAGCCAACATCTCATCTAATGCAAAAACATTGAAGGCATTTCTATTAAATTCTAAATAAAGATAAGGATGCCCAATGTCTCATTTTTAAATGTAATTATAAACAATAATAAATTAAGCAGGGAATAAAATTAACTTACAGAAACCAACAAGCTTTACATATACCACAACAAAGACTCCATTCAGAAGAGCAATATAATAGATAAAGGACCTAAAAATAAACTTAGTAAAAAGTGTCTAAAATCTATATGAAGAAAATTTTAAAACACTCTAAAAGACCCAAAAGGAAACTAGCATATTTACAACATACAACATGTACACAGACAGGAATATTTAACACTATAGTCCCTTTCCCTAAAATCATTTTACAAAATTTAATGCAATATCAATTAGCTTTTTCCTAGAACTAGACAAGCTGATTCTAAAGTTTACATAGAAAAATAAAGAGGAATAGTTAAGAAACTGAAAAAGATAAGCAATAAGAAACCAACTATACTAGATATTAAAACAAAATCATAAAGCTCACACACTAAAAAGATAAATATGGGTACATGAATACACACTGGAAGATAGATGAGAATATAAAGTCCAGAAACAAACCAAATACATGAGAATTTAGTATATGATCAAAGTAAAGAATCTTAAAATAGGAGAGTTAAGGTCTTTTAATATTAATAAATGGTGTTGGAAGTACTGGGTAGCCTACTGGAAAAAAATATAAACCTGATGCATACCTAATATCATATGCTAGGATATGAAAACCCATAAAAGTTATAACCTTGTAAGGATTGGAAAGTAAAGGTGAAACCTGGAGTGAGAAAGGCTTTCTATGACCATAAGTGAAAAGACCAATTAACTAACATAACTTATCATTTTAACTACCTGATAAATCTAACATAAAAACAAAAATTTCCTGATTCCACATGAGTTTTAAAAAGAAACTACCACTGAACAATATCAAAACACAAATTTTAAAACGTGAAAAAATCCTGCAACTCATCTCACATAGGGCTAACCGTTCTAATGTAATTTAACAGTTCCTAGAAGAGGCACTCTATAGTAAAACGAGGAAAAGGATAAGGACAGTGCCCAGATAAGTACATGTGGCCTTTAAAAGTACTCAATCGTATCCATAATAGAGATGTAAATTAAACCTACATTGAGATATCAATTTTCACTCATACTTTTGGCAAAAAAATAAAACATTCAACACTACACTCTGATGGTAAGGTTCTAGGAAGAGAAGTGTTCTTGTAGATAGCTGAAAAGAAATTAAAGTTCTTAGCCCTATATGCAGTTCCACTTGCAGCAATCTACTTTGGAGATAATCAAGGGGCTTCCCAGGTGGTGCTAGTGGTCAAGAATCCTCCTGCCAACGCAGGAGAACCTTCCATAAGTACAAAATGACACAGATGAAAAATTACTCATTACTGCAATTAATTAGTAACAGCAAAAGATTAGGATCAACCCAAACATCCAACAGCAGAATCAACTACAGTACTCACACACAAGGCAGTTAAAAATCATATATATGATTAAGAAAGGATATCTCCAGGACATATTGTGAAGTGACAAAAAAGAGGAATGTACAGAGTGCATCTTTTACATAAGGATGGGGGACAGGAGAGAAGAAATATATACAAATGGCCTAACAAATTCAAAATCTACTTGAAAGATAAACAACAGCAAAAAAAAGAAACTACATTTTAATTGGGACAGAGAAGAATGTGATGGGGAGGAGAGCAGAATATCTCTCTATGAGATATATAGTTTTTGTTGAAATGCATTATCAACTTTTTTATATAATCAAATTCACTTCTTAAAAAGCAGTCCCTAAACTGGAAACAAACTGAAACACGTGAACTCAACTGTGCATTAACTTGGTAATTAACGTAATTCCTCAAAACAAGGATTTATTTCAAATGACTTTAAAACAGAAAAAAATAAAAAATAAATAAAGCAGAGAACTTTGACTCTACATCTTTAGTGTACACAGTGGAAGGGCAAAAAGAGCTACAAAGAAAATTTTCACAGGATACAGTATGTTTATGGTTACTACACTACCAACATTGTTATTTTGAAACTATTTTCAGTTATTTTGAAACTGCAGAATAAAGCAAATAAGCCCACACTTGTATTAACCTGTTCCAAATTTTTTTACCATAAAATACAATTACAAGCTAAGTACTGAGGTAAAAATCCTTAAACATTTAAACTGAATTAGAAATACTAATATGAATATGAACTCGTGATTTTTAAAAATGGGTTTATTCATTCTGTCTATGAAATGGCCTTGAAACAATGTTACCTCTGCAGCAATGAGAGCATCGAGCACCCAGATCTTGGTTTCAAATACCATTCTCCAGTAGAAGGAACCAGAGCTCCTTGGAGAAATGGCCAATTCCAAGTCTAGGAGGGAAGGTATAAGGTGGGTCTGGAGTGGAAAAGCTTTCAAAGTTAAATGGTGGCAAGTTAAAATGAGACAGGAGTTAGCAAGAAGGAAGTTCCACTGAATAAAACTGTGATAATATGACTATCAGAAAAAGAAAACTAGCTAGAGTTATAAGAGTATAATTTTAAAATGATGATTAAAGAAGAAAAAGCCAGGATAAATTTGATACAATTTGAGGTAGCAACCAAATAAATGTAAAAGTAATGAAAAAACTAGAAAATCATCACTTTGCAAGCCTGAAGCAATTACTGCTGATTCAGCTAAAAGATTATTTATTGATGTTAAAACCATTCATTAAATGATCGATGAATGAGCAAATTATGAAACCATGAAGATTACATTTTGGTCATAAAGGAGAAAATACAATCACTAGTGGTGGATCACTATTTCTCTCATGATGTTATTATGCAATTTGAAGATCACCTCTGATGTAGTCTGACCCAAAATAACTCACAATTAGGATCTGTAAAAAATATCATCAGAAGCACTGAATTAACCATGAGAAATAACCATCATGGAAATCAAAGAACAAAATCTCATAAAGGAGGCAATGATGAGTTGCTAAAGATGAGTGTAACCTGAACAAAGAATTCTAACTTCCTCATTCCAGTTATAAAAAGAAATGTCAGAAAAAAAAGCTTAAACAGAGAAATTTAAAAAGAGCATCTGCATATCTGAATCTTTCAGAAATTTTTACCAGAAACAGTAAGAATAACTGTACTATTTCTGAGGAACTTTTTCTCCCTTTCTGTATTTTTTGTTATTTTATATTGGAGTACAGTTGGGATTATCAATGACATGTTAAAGGTGAACAGCAAAGAGATTCAGTTATACCCATAGAGCTAGCTATTCTTTTTCAAATTCAATCTCCTACTGATGGGCATGAATTGTTCCTAATCTTTTCCTATGTGAAACATTGTGCCTGCATCAGTTCATGTAAATTCAGGTACATCTGTAGAATGAATTTCCATCTGTAAAATAACTAGGTCAAAAGAAAAGTAGTTATTATACATACTGCTGAATTGCCCTGCATAGGCCCGCTTCCTGCTAATGCCAATACTATTTTAATTTCTGAGGATTTAAAAATGTTATGCCATCAGGGGAATTCCCTGGTGGTCCAGAAGTTAGGACTCAGCGAATTCACTGCCCAGGGTGTGGGTTCAATCCACACCCTGGTTGGGGAACTAACATCCTGCAAACTGAGCAGTGTGGCTTAAAAAAAAAAAAAGTAAAATGTTACTGTTGGGTTCCCACTTCCCCACACCCCGACTGCTTTTCGAGTTTTACTGGCTATTCTAGCTTGTCTATTTTTCCATATGAAGTCCAGAATCAGCTTAATTTAGGTCGCCCCCGCCAAAAAAATTTGTGGATACTTTTATTAGGATAACATGAAAAACACTTTATTTTTGTTCCTATCTTACATTACGCCCTTCAGCAGTATTTTAAAGTTCTTTTCCGGTAGTTTTGCATATTTCTTTAGCTTATTCCTTAATTTTTAAAAAAACCGTTGTTGTAAATAATGGTTTTCCTCTATCACACCTTCTAACTGGCAGTTGTTTTCTATTTGAAGGCTACTGATTTGTAGTTATTGATTTGGTACCCAATTATTTAAAATACGAGGATAACTGGAGGAGATCCTTAGAAAAAGTACCTTTGTTACTTCACAAAATCCTTAACCTGGGAAAACGCATTTAGCAGTCAGGATACCTAACTAGTCCAGATTCATGGATAAATATTCCAGGAATTAGTTTCTTCAAAGAACGAGGATAACAGTGCCGAATCTGGAACCTCAAACCCTTGACCCCCCAGTTGTCGGCTTCTGCCCAATAGGACACTGCTTCTAAAAACGTAACGCTGATATCTACTCTTTAGACTTAACAGCAGTCCTATTAAAGTACCCCAAAGATCAGGACATTGGAGACCATTTGAAGCAGGCTACCCCTAACAAAAATATCCTTTGAAATATTCTTGTTTTAAAAAAAAAACAAAACAAAACCCACAGCGATTTGCCTTCTACCCAATTAAAAGGAAACGCACTTTTATACCAAAGCCCATTTTAAAATTATTTACCACTTAGCTTTTATAGCCCTTCAATCTTCAAGTAAATAAGATGTTCCAGACAGATGGCACCGTTAATCATCAGCACTTTCGACAAGGGAAGTGCCGCTCGGATATTCTCTCAGTGCTGGTCTCGTACATCTCTCTCTTAGAAGCAGCCATACAATCCCGTACCCACAGTTTCTCCCTCAACTATCTCAAACATCCGGTCAAATTTGCGGTCAAACTCAGGGTCACACATCGCTCGAGCCCTCCCCAGAGGCCCCCACCCCCACCCTACATGTAGGCCAGAAGCTCTTAAACCCACTCCACACTCTCGCACCGCACCCCAATAGATCCGGAATCCTTCCCTTCAACCTCCCCGACCCCATCGGCCCAAGACGCCCACATCCCACCTCCTATTTTCGCGCCACGTGGACCCAGGGGCCGGACTGACCCGCGGACAAAGACCAAAATGTCCACTCGGTGCGCTGCGCCTGCGCACTCCGAGGGCGAGCGAGCACTCCCAGAAGTCTTCGCGACGCCGCCCGCACAGTCACGGTGGCCGAGCCCAGGCTGGTATCTGATTACCTTCTGTCAACAGCAACGGCGCTTTCCCGGCCTTAGACTACATTTCCCTTAAGGCTTTGCTGGTTGACAGTCTATGTCTCTCCGTCTCTTTCCCCCTGCCAACTTGGCGACCTCTTCCTGTGATTATGAGGCTCTTAGAGTGAGTGATCCTGACTTGGGGGAAGATAAGTTCAGGCATGATGGAAGGTTTGGAGAGGGAACCCCTTTCTTTGAAGGCTTTCGAGGGCAGTGTCAAACGGGCCAAGGCCAGACTGTGAGGTATGAGGACGCCATCTTGTCTGCGGCTGGACTGGCTCTGGACTACGTTTCCCAGAGTCCACAGTGGCCCAGCGTTAAGTCTCACTTGACGTCGTGGCGAGATCCTTAGCTCCGCAGGGACCCGGACGCGACCAAGGGAAGGCAGAAGGTGAGGGGTCTGGGACTCTGGGGCGGGGACGGGGCGTGTCCAGAGAGCCTTGGGTTTTTGCGCGCTGGCGGCTGAGGATGCGAGATTCTGTATGTGGCTTTGTGTGTCATAGTGTGAGCAGATTGTGCGACTGTGTGTGCCTTATTGGGTGTGAGGTTGTGACTGTGTATAAAGATGTGGAGGTGTCTCATTGTGTGGTGTGTCCTTGTGTGTCCTAAGAGCGAATATGTTGTTGTATTTGTGTGATACTGACCATTTGTTCAGCACCAAGTGTGTAGCTGTGAGGTGGTGCCTGTGACTCCAGTGCTCTGACAGATTGTGACCCCAGACAGTAATTATAACCTCAGCCTTCCCTTGTAACACCGGGATGGGGCATGATGTCCAGTCTTCTCTGCTCACCCTTGCCTGTGCGGGAGAGTTGGGCGATGAACCTTTTAAAAATGCCCTGATCCCTCACGATTGCTTTCTCTTGATTCTTCTCTGAGAGATATATTGAGAGAACTACTGTTGGACATTAAAAAGCTAGGTTCTCCGTGCATCAGTTTTTCTTCTTTCCCTGAAACCCTTCTTTTTCGAGATGTGTGCTTAAACACACTCACACATACATAAGCAATTCAGCCAAATGTGGAGATTAATTGGCTTTATTCAACTTCTGAATCCGGCAGTATCCCATCTAAGCAGCAGCTACTCCAAAGGGTTGTACAAAATGGAAGTTTTTTACGGGCAGTTGGAAAGTGGGGCAAGGAAGTTACTAGCAAAAGAAAAGAAAGGATTGTTTTAGGCCAGGACATCTTTTAGGGAAATGGAATGGCTGGGGTCTTATCATGCAGGTTACTTCACTGGTGCCAGGCAGGAAATTTCAGATTGATTATTTAAAGAGCACATTTTCTTGAGAAACATTTAAACTGGAATTAAGTCTTGGTTTGTTGTTATGGGACACATGACTCCATTTTAGGCTTTTTTTTTTTTTTAAACACGTGCTTTCCTTTCCTTCTGAAACTTCTGGCCTAAAAAAGCCCCACACCACCATTCACCGCCAAGTGAACTGGAGTCCAGTATTTACCATTGGAGTCAATTACTGAGTGCCATGAAGGTAAACTGAAAGGCTCACACTTTCCATATTCCCTGCACAACTAGTGTTCATCTAAATGTTTAAAACTTTTCATTTTAAATACTAAAATATAAAAATAAATAAACTGTTGCAAAAATAGAATTCTCAAATACTCTTAACCCAGCTTCTCTATCAAAACCAGGAGATTAACAGATACACTAATAGATACTGATATTGTTGTGTTACCGGGTCCAAGCTTGCTCTGCTCGCCACAGATAGGCTGATGAATCTGAGAGTCAAGGTGTTGAGGCAAGGAAGAGACTAATCTGGGAGCAGACCGATGGAGAAGGTGGCAAGCTAGCGCCTCAAAATAACCATCTTATTGGGGTCTGGATGCCAGTTTCTTTTATAGATCAGAGAGAAGGAAGCAATGAGGAACTAAAGTCAAAAGAATAGAAAGGGAGATGCAGGGGGGAAGTAAACTGAAAGGGTCTTCAATCTTGCAAAACATCTCCAAGGGAATGTTCAGCCTTCAGAAGGTTAATCTCTTCTATTCACAGGTGGGCAGGGACAAACTATTTCTCCGTGAGCTGAGAAAAGGCACTTTAGTTTACAGTCAAGCAGAGGGGCAGGTCCTCCAGGCAAGCCATTGAGTTTGATTATAATAATAAAAGCAAGTCAAAGAAAGTTTCCTACAAGTCAGAATTGGCTTCCTCCCTGCAACAGTTGTTCAGTCGCCCAGTCACGTCTGACTCTTTGTGGCCCCATGGACTGCAACATGCCAGGCCTCCCTGTCCCTCACCATCTCCCAGAGTTTGCGTAAGTTCATGTTCAGTTATACTAAGAGTTAATAACTAATCTACAGCTTTTGTTCAGATTTCATCAATGTGGCTTAACTGTCCTGTTTCTGGACAAAGATCCAATCCAGGATCATATGTTGCAGTTAACTCTCCTTAATCTTCTCTTTTAGTTTTATTGTATTATTTAAAAATTTTTTTTGCTGCACTGTATGGCACATGGGATCTTAGACTAGGATCAAACCCTCTGTATTGGACACATGCAGTCCTAATGACTGGACTGTGGGGGTGGGGTGGGGGAAGTCCTCTTTAGTCTTCTTTGATCTGAAACAGTTACTTACTAGGTCTTCCCAGGTGGTTGAGATGATAGTGTCTGCTTGCAATGTGAGAGACCTGGGTTCAATCCCTGGGTTGGGAAGATTCCCTGGAGAGGGAAATGGCAACCCACTCCAGTACCCTTGCCTGGAAAATCCAGTGGACAGAGGAGCCCTGTAAGCTACAGTCCATGGGGTTGCAGAGAGTCAGACATGACTGAGTGACTTCAGTTTTCTTGGTTTTTCATGACCTTGACACTTTTGAAGAGAACTGGCAATTTATTTTGTAAATTCTGCAATATAGAATTTACAGTCTCAATTTGAAGTTGTCTGACACTTCCTCATAATTAAATTCAGAGTATGCAGTTGAGGCAAAGTGAAAGTCACTCAGTCGTGAAAGTTGCTCCATCGTGTCCAACTCTTTGTGACCCCATGGACTGTACAGTCTCTGGAATTCTCCAGACCAGAATAGTGGAGTGGGTAGCCACCATTCTCTTCTCCAGGGGATCTTCCCAACCCAGGAATCAAGCCCAGGTCTCCTGCATTGCAGGCAGATTCTTTACCAACTGAGCCACCAGGGAAGCTCTATTGGGAGACACATAAGATTAATTTGTCTCTTTATTAGCAATGTTAACTTTAATTTGCCAAGTTTCTTCACTGCAAAATCATTCTTTTTTTTATTACAATTAATGTGTCTTATGGACAATTACTTTTTAGTCTATATCAATAGGCTGTTTCTCATCCTACTTTCACCTACTACATCCATTGATAATTCTTGCCTGAAAATTTATTACCAGGTATTTTCCAAATGCTTTTTTTTTTCAGATCCTGTTATTCATTCTATATTCCCACTATCATTTTGTTAGAAATAAATTTTCCTTCTCCCCATTTAACTTACCAACTCTCTGGATTGAAGTACTGTAGGTTATAATCCATTACTATCACTATTTTATTGCTGAATTATCCCAAATTTGACCACTGGGAAATCCTTTGGATTGGCTTCTGTATCCTTTCAGTGTGTCCGCTTGATGCATTTATTTTTAGCATTTCCTTATTTTCCTGCACCACAAGATGTTCCAGGTTGAAACTGTACTTTCCCAGCCCCAGTCCTGAAATCAGCAAATTTCTGAGGGATCTCTGGCTCCTTTTATGCGAAAATTATACTTAGAAACCGGGATTAGATGCACTCATTGCAAATGGGATGCCCTTGCTTCTTGACTTTCTCAGATATGAAATACATGCATTTGTACTCACGTATCTATATTTGTCTTTATGTATACTTATATAGATAATCCATGATTTTATATGATCTCTCCAGTTCAGTACCACAGCACTTCTTTTAGCCTTCTCCATTTCCTTTTCTGAAATTCCTTTCTCTGACAGTAAAAAAAACTTGGCTCTCATTAACCACATATATTTATTTATTTGCTCACTCTTAAGTAGAAAGTAGTTTAAGAATTGCTAATCCACATCCCCAAACCTTATATTGTACTTTTGTACTTAGTCTTACAGTCCATAGTAAAAATATAGTTGTTGTTTATTCACTCAGTCTTGTCCAGCTCTTTGAAAACCCACGGACTATAGCCCAGCAGGCTTCTCTGTCCATGGTATTTCCCAGGCAAGAATACTGGAGTGGGTTGCCATTTCCTTTTCCAGGGGATCTTCCTGACTCAGGAATTGAACCCGCCTCTCCTGCATTGGCAGATAGCTTCTTTACCACTGAGCCACCAGGGAAATCTCCCAATATACAGTACCCAACCCAAAAAATAAATAAAAATAGTTTTCCCTGTACTTTTCTATATGGTAATGTTAGGGGAAGCACACTGATTGAAACCGCCTACCCTGGCCAGGCACCATAGTAACCATTTGCATGAGTTGTTTTGTGACAGGAGATCCTGACAAGGAATATGGAACTAATAAGCCACCACCAACCGGAAGAGTTCGGGAAAGGTCAAAAGGAGACACCGTGTGTCTGTCCACTTCCAGAATCCCTCTCGCTAGCATCCATCTTGGCTGAGCGATGCTTGCGCCACCAGGAAAGACTCTGAATTAGAATGATTGGCCAAATACTACCCGGAATCTAATCCCATCACCATAAAACCCAAGACTGCGAGCCATGCGGCAGAGCAGTTCTCTTGGGTTCCCTTACCTACTGCTCTCCACCTGGGTGTCCTTTCCCAATAAAATCTCTTGCTTTATCAGCACATGTGTATCCTCGGACAATTCATTTCCGAGTGTTAGACAAGAGCCCAGTTTCAGGCCCTGGAAGGGGTCCCCCTTCCTGCAACAGTAACATTACTCATTTGTAATATACCTGGGTTCATTTGATACTGTATGTATCAAATCAAACACACATCACACATCTTGGTTGATTTTAATTAGTTTTTGAGTATGTGAAACTCAACGTATTGTGAAAGTCAGAATTAGATCAAAAGGTCTACTCAGTTATTCCTCCATCATTCCTTCCCCTAATTCCATTCTCCCATTCTTTCCACTCTTCCCAGTCACCCATTGTAGGTAACCAACCAATCTCAGTTTGTTGGGGGTTTTATGGTTTAATATACATAAAATTTGCATTTTAATTCTGCTGTTCAGTAACATTAAGTGCATTTACATTGTACATATATACCACATTATGTTAAATGGTTTATCTATCTGTGAGTACTTAGGTTACTAACATCTTTTCACTTTTGTGAATAATGCTGCTGTGAACATGGGTTTACAATTATCTGTTCAGGTCACTGCTTTTCCTTTTGGGTATATATCCAGCAGTTGAATTGCTGGATCACATAGTATGTTTATTATTCTGAGGAATCACCATACCATTTCTAAAAGAGC